GCTTCAACTCATGATTCCGCGAATTCTACTGTAATGCCGTCTTCAGCAGGAACCCTTCCTAACTTTGACAGTTTTGTTGCATGTAACACTTTTTTTGGCAAGATATCTGAAATCTCGTTGTATCTTGAAGCATCTTACCATGACAGAATGCTACTGTCTTCCTCTATATACAGTTTTATATACACAACTTCGACTCTTTCTCTTGTCTATCACAGATGATCGTTGAAAGGCTATATCCAGACTAATACCACGTCTCTGGCCTTTTCCTTTATTTCGAAAAGCGAACAACATGTTTTTGTGAACGATAAAACGTAGGGGCACTGCTCATGATTCGATTGACTGCTTCCATCACGGGAGTACATTTACGTTACCAATGGGCACCTTAAGAACGAGTTTCATTTATTCTAAACGCTGATTCTACCCGTTCGGTTTTATGGACCGTAAGAAACTGACGCAGCCGAAAGAAGACATCAGTTACTTGTCATATGAATAAAATCAAACAGGTCTATATAATAAAGATATTAGCATTTGCCTGAGGATATTACGAGTATTTTCGTGACGCGCTACGATAACGGCATCATCCTCCGTCAGACTAATTGGCAAGACTAATTACCGACAGACAATAAACCATAATATTAGGGAACAATATAAATTAATAAGTGTTTGAAGACAATTTAAAGGAAGAAAACAAAGTTTGAAATCTATAAGGCCTATAAAACGCCGGTCTCCGTAAACAGCTATTATGCTCCGCCCCCACCTCTGCGACACAATTTTCAGTGGAGATTATGTCACAGCAGCGTTGATGCTCGCTTCAATGAAATCAGCTGGATGAGACTAATTCATTAAGACAACATGTCAGACATAAGTTGCAGTCGCACGTTTTTCCCTCAATTCATAAAAATACTGTTCATTTTCGCGCCACCGGAAGACGAAGCCTTAATGACCCGAAAATCTTTCGATTGGCAGTTCGGCACTCGACTGTGCGAACAGCGAAAGCCATGCAAAAATACAATGAAAAAATGTAGGAAAAAATTTTCAGCGTTCGGATGTCGTACCGAAGCTTAACGTATGGCACTAATTTAAGTTTCCGCACCATCCTGTAAGAATGCCTGAGGATCGTTTTTTCTAACGCTACATCTACAGTTTGGCGACCATTAAAGCGTCCAGTTTACTGTTTACCGTCTTACGATGAAGTAGTTGTTTACGTCCTTTGGAGGGAGGAAACACAAATGACCGGACTCGACTGGCATCAGAGCCCAGCACCAGTCGATTTTGCATCGGCCGTAATACGAATTGAAAAACCCTGACACTAGAACACAAAACAGCACGGTTCACTGCGTCGTATACCTTGGCGCGTTCTAGCTGTTGCCGAGCGCGCTCTTCCAAGTCCTGTCTGTTGATCTCACGCTCACGGTCGTCATCGATCGACAAATCGCTCGAGTGATGTGACTCGACAGAATTCTACAACAGTATTAATACACCCGAAAAGGTCGCCCGTACGATGTGGACGTCGACCGGCAAGAAGACGAAGTCGAAGCCAATTCCGTTACCTGTCTTCGCAACATTCACAGCGCAGGCTCAGCTGGTTCCCTTCCTTCTGCTCCGTTCCGTTCCGTTTCGGTCCGGTCGGTTGCGCTCCGCTAGGCGTTCAGCAGTCCATGAAACGTATCGGCCGACCACTGCGTATGGAAAACGACGACGGATAGAACTCGATACGTTAACGGGGTTCACGTTTCACCGCAGTACGTAGCGCCTGCAACTCGACAAATCACAAGTATGACTATGGTAGTTGACGACAAAACGGAAGTACCGAAAACGCGACGCATAACATACACAAACAAAGGGATCGACAGACAACTTACACGCAACTGCTCCAAGTTGCTAGACGTGGGTCTCGGTAACGCACTCAGTAATTCAGTACCCTTTCAAACTTCAGATTATCACGGTTTCTTCACCGTAACATCCCTTGGACATGAAAGACATTAGAATTGCGGTCTTTAGAAGCTACTAGTAACTTCCAAACGTAAAGTATCATGAATTCTGTTCACTGTGAAGGAAGCGATCACTCAGCCAGCAATCTGATCAGTCACAACGGTGCATACGATTGCAATAACGTTTCCGAGTCGACGTGGAATTTCATCTATTCTAGGGTTGCGGACATTCAACTTAGAACGGAACGAGGTAAAATCAAAGTGCAAAACTGCTTGTTTCAGAAGCGGAGTATATGCAGCACAATGTAAAACAGATGAAGAGGAAAACGGCGTCACGCAGAACGAAGTCGTATGCGGCGCGTGTTTAAGGAGTGGCTGACGTTTGAAGCGTTAGTTAAAGCAGATAATACCCTCATAGCAGAACAAATATCACGAACATTGAAAAACGCGCAGAGTCAAAATCTGAACCGGAAATTAAACATTAGCAACAGCAAATAAATCGCACTCTACTGAGCTTGGTATCATCACAGTGAGATTCTTCCTGACTTTGGAAGAGTGTGCAGAGAAAATGTTAACGGCAAAATCAAAATCACGGCTTTGTAAGTGCCGTGACGCCACTGACAGTAAAATGTGCCCGTCGGAGCACGTTTTGAATAGATCGAGGCACAGGATTCTATACGTTCCATTGTCAACCTCGTAATAGTTTTAATAGAATATGGTTGCAGTAAAAACAAGCGTATAAACAGGAGTCTAGAATACCATGACAGAGGTGAATAAGTTTAAGTGGTACCGCCTGAGAGGTCAAGTTGCAAGAAAAGCCAGCCATCGCTGAACCAGAGACATTAGCCTGGGTTCCAAAAGAGAATTACTGGCCCGTAGGAACACACCTGCAGATCGATGGCAGAGTGAGATGAAAAAGCTCACTGGATCAAAATGGATAGAAACGGCACAAAACAGTTTCTGGCAAATTCTTAGGCCTTTACCCAGCAATGAATCGAAAAAGGACGATGCTGGTGGTTGCAGTAGTCAAAGGGAAAAACAAAAACACTTCAAGACAAAACCATTTCGGCGGATGCTAACATTATTAGCATTGACATGGATTATTATTTCATGAAAAAACATACCAACCACGGATTAGCTGGAGATCAACGTAGACCAACAGCGCTGAATCATCTATTTCTGCCTGCAAGCAAAAAAATTTGGTATCACTGAAATCACGCTATCCGTATGGGAACATCACGCCACGTTCACCCAACTCATCAGTTACAGCCTTATAACACAACCACCTCCAGTGTGGTTACCGTGGACGACACTATGTCGTAAAACGCAATAAACGTGCGGATATTCTTATAACAGATACGAAAGTTAGCAACTGTTGAAATGTCGGTCTTCGTTGAACTTTACTTCTGGCACCCTTGTTTCCATGAAGTTAATGGCGTAGGGTCGAACTCCTCTCCATTCCATCAGTCAACAGTACCATATGATGGTCGAGAAGAGCTACGCAGCAAACTGTAATCTCTAGCTTGCTTCTCACATTTATCAATTTCGGAAGGAAAAGGAATGATTCTGATCGTGGCTGGAACCCGCAGAATATCCGTTCTAAATCGGATGCTCTACTGACTGAACAACCCTGGATGACGGTAGACAAATAGAAGATAAACAAATCCATTAAATAAGAATGCGGTAGCATGTACGCAACGAAGCAAATCCGTATTAATGGCGATATCTAAGCCCATCACAGGGAAACAAAGGCGATCGATGTAGTCAAATCAGACGCAACCGAACTGGTCATCGTATCATGAGCCGCGACTTTTT